ACCACAACCTCGCTTCCGAAGAAGAAATCGTTATGTTACAAGTTGTGTCATGCAAAATCCTTTTGGTCATCAGTCATATACATATTTCACTACAACTAGTACATAGTTTTGATTTTTGTAACTTCCGTGAAGTGATCTGAACACAAGTAAGATATGTTCAAGGCTTCCACAACGCTCGCTTCGCACTCACAAACATAACCCATTTAGCACGAACTGCGGGGTGACACCATCACCCGACCCTTGGGAGCAATTGACGGCAACGCAACGATTTGGCATGTCTTCGTTGACGTCGGGAAAGCAGCAAAATGAAGAGCTTGTCACACACTTTATATACAACTAACTGAAAATCCTTCCTCAAATGACGTCACTTCCGGTTCGCTGCCGTGCTCTGGCGACAGAGTTACGTAACCTCTCTGTGGTTTCGTTGGCGGGCAAGAGTGAAGCAGACGACTTTTTGGCAACTTTTAATCTCTCGGTATTAATTAACCACAAGTTTTTAAAGAATGAATTTGGTGTTCCACTTAAGACTAACCACACGTCTTTCATATGTAATGGGTACAAAAAACAAAAAAAGTTTATTCGTTCTTTAAAATAATGTTAGTGAGAATAATATGAATACATGTCTGAAGCAGTTCACTGTAACAATATTAAAGCTTAGATGCAACCAAAACAACAAACATAATCAAAACACAATTATCATTTATTCATAACATATGATATACATTGCTGATTATGTAAAAACAAAACAAAAAAATTATAAGTGTACAATCGCAAATCAAAAGTGCAATATTTTGTACCTGGGTTTACTACCCTCGAAACGAAGCACGCAGGATACCGAACCCAGTCAGAGCGGGTGGGCGTGCACTTAAGTGTAACGAAGCCTTACATTGGCTGGTTTGTTTGCCGATACGCTCAGGGGACTTTGTGTACAGAGATGTTGTAAATACACGCTCATTTTTTAGTATAACATTTTGTAATCAACAGCCATCATAACATGTCATGTATCACACCTGCCTGTCTGTGTAATTACATAATGTGACAGAGACAATACTCGGGTGCACGAGCCATAAATCAATGCGTTTTGTTTATGGTGTATAGCCTGATAGGTGTTCAGTTCAAATTGCATGTGGTCAGTGATCGAAGTTGTGTATTGCATATTGTCATTAGCAGACAGGCAGGCAGACACATACGTGTCAATAAAACAGAGATTGAGTTTTGTCTGTGACAGAGGCATATCTATATCACAGTTAGAAAATCTGACAATGCTAAATAATGACGTTGATTTTAAATATCGGACTGAGAAAGTGACTCGGTAAGAACGTGTAGTGAAATAGTCAAATGAAATTATATAAACAGTTATATCGGTAATCTACTGTCATAACATATAAAAAGCTCGCGCCTGTGAAATATCAACAAAACATTAGAAAAATAGCTCACATCAAAGCCTACTCCGAGTACTCACCGCGCGCCAGTGAAGGTTTTCCGTCTTGAAATGTCGAACGCCTCACTGGTTGACACATAGCTGAGTAGATCTAGATCCTTAACAAGGTTCTTTTATGTAACGAGTAGATTATTTACTATTTGTTGTTTGTGTACACAACCGAGATTAGACTACTCCTGCTCACGACTTTATAATTTGGGCATCCCGCTTCAAGCTGCGCGAACCTATTCACAGCTGTTGAAACCACTTTTCACCCCAGCTGGGGTGAATTTAGTGAATCGTTTGAACTCCGATTTCGCGGGGGTTTTTTCATCGCGTTATTTTTCAACTTTATAAGTTGAATTTGCATTTTTGATCATTTGTTACTTTAAGTCCATAGCGAAATGTATCAGAATCTGCAAGTTGTGTTTTGCGTTGCATGTGACCTTTAATAATTCCAACATAAGTCTGTAGTAGTTAATTGAAACAATGCTAGGAATAACCACATAAATATAAGTCATTTCCTGAAACCACGTAAGTAATATCCCCATAAATCTGTCTGTCTAAGTTTATTGATAATACCCGGTCCCCATGGTCCCTAGTATGGTGACCTACCTTCAGTTGCTGGTGATCTCTAGCCCTAATTTATATATTGTATTGTTCATAAAATTTGTTTAATTTTACAGTTACATGCTAGTTTTAATTCTCTATCTGTGAATAATTCAATTTAATTTATTATGAATTTGTAATTTGATAAAGTCACGATATGACTGACATATTGCCGATGTGACTATACATCGTAACTCACTCCCTATTGATATTATCCACATGCATATGTGCCTTTTGTTGTTCATTGAAACAATAATCCTGATATCCACATATATTAGGCCCGCAGTGCTTTCAACATTGAACGAAAATGTTAGTAATGTTCACGTTCTGTATCAATGTTTCGTCAAGTAAATAGATTAACATTTTCAGAGAAAGGTATTCGATGAAATAAATGATTTCCGTGCGGACTTTAGCTACGGATATTCAGCTAGACATAGTATGTTTATGCAATATTCAATAGATAGAGATACCTTGGGTAGAAAAAGAGTAACGTGTTACGTGTCGATTCCCGAGTTGAAACAAAACGTTAACAAGCAAACTTTACAGGAAAGAGTACTATGTGAAACAAACAAATAAACAGCAAAGTATTGCAGCATAATTAACAATCGTAGCGTAATAAAATTATTTTAAAAAGGCAAATAACTCCAAGTAATTGAAATAGCAGTGCAAAATGGAGTGGCAGTATATATACAACGGCAGTACAGATACAACGGCAGTACAGATACAACGGCAGTACAGATACAACGGCAATACAGATACAACGGCAGTACAGATACAACGGCAATACAGATACAACGGCAGTACAGATACAACGGCAGTACAGAAACAATGGCAGTACAGATACGGCGGCAGTACAGATACAACGGCAGTACAGATACAACGGCAATACAGATACAACGGCAGTACAGATACAACGGCAGTACAGATACAACGGCAGTACAGATACAACGGCAGTACAGATACAACGGCAGTACAGATACAACGGCAGTACAGATACAACGGCAATACAGATACAACGGCAGTACAGATACAACGGCAATACAGATACAACGGCAGTACAGATACAACGGCAGTACAGATACAACGGCAATACAGATACAACGGCAGTACAGATACAACGGCAATACAGATACAACGGCAGTACAGATACAACGGCAATACAGATACAACGGCAGTACAGATACAACGGCAGTACAGAAACAACGGCAGTACAGATACAATGGCAGTACAGATACAACGGCAGTACAGATACAACGGCAATACGGCAGTACAGATACAACGGCAATACGGCAGTACAGAAACAACGGCAGTACAGAAACAATGGCAGTACAGATGCAATGGCAGTACAGATACAACGGCAGTACAGATACAACTGCAGTACAGATACAACGGCAATACAGATACAACGGCAGTACAGATACAACGGCAATACAGATACAACGGGAGTACAGATACAACGGCAATACGGCAGTACAGATACAACTGCAGTACAGATACAACGGCAATACAGATACAACGGCAATACTGATACAACGGCAGTACAGATACAACGGCAATACGGCGAGTACAGATACAACGGCAATAGATACACCGGCAGTACAGATACAACGGCAATACGGCAGTACAGATACAACTGCAATACAGATACAACGGCAATACAGATACAACGGCAGTACAGATACAACGGCAATACAGATACAACGGCAATACAGATACAACGGCAATACAGATACAACGGCAGTACAGATACAACGGCAATACAGATACAACGGCAGTACAGATACAACGGCAATACAGATACAACGGCAATACAGATACAACGGCAGTACAGATACAACGGCAGTACAGATACAACGGCAATACAGATACAACGGCAATACAGATACAACGGCAGTACAAAAAAGTTGTGACTATAGCAACAGAAAACAACAGTGGTATATTATATACCTGTCACACTGCTGAATTTTACCAGGAACAACTGGTTGTTCCCAGAGCTTATCATGAATTTCACAGAAAGAAACCTTGTTTTCAGGTATTTCAGGAATTATTGCTAGAGGGTATTCTGTCTGTAAGCGTTGATGTTAAGCCCGTTTAGAATAGGATAGTACCAGGATTATTTAGGTGTACTCATGGAGGTAGCCAAGGTTGTATTCTCAGTCCCTTTATGTTTACAATCATTAATTATTTAAATGAATAAGCGTCAAATATTAGAGCTTCATTGTGATGGAATGATTTAGCTGCACCCATAATGTACTTAGTTACTTCTTAGAAATACATATCACATTGATCAGTCAGTGCACCAAGTATATTGTTGTTTGGCCCTCCCCATCTTGAATAAAAGACTTTAGAAACATTGTATAAAGAGTCACGGCGAGAACGTTAAATATATATGACATTGTAGACCTTCACAATGTTATCCAATGAAAATATGAATATCTGGTCACATAATCACACCTGATCCTGTACCGACAATTCACCCTATGGGCTTTCCCATATAAAGAGCCGCTTGCTATATTTAACAGGACCTTAAAGTTAAATAGCTGGAAATTATCAAACTGGTTATTATATTTCAAAAAGCAAACATGTGTTTGTTGATATTTCTCATGTATACTATTCTCACAACAGTATTTCCAGTTGAAACATTCATCACACCGTTTCTATAAGTATTCACAGATGAGGTGTTGACGGAACGTGACTCTCCCATGGTGAATTAAGACAGAGTGGGTACATCATGTAATGGGGTTTCACACGATCTTGCTGTCAGACACACTAGCCTCCTGGCATACATCAGTCAGGCAATCATCATCCACTTGTCCAACCTCATTTTGTCGCCGACCCCTACCGGTTAAGATCCCTCCGCCTATCACAACCCTGTTCCGATTCCTGACCTCCATCCCATCTGGATCTTGCTTCCATCTTCAAAGCTAGATCCATTTGTTTTTACATTCCATCGTCAGTCACCAAACCGTCCATGCCCATCCTCGGGAAATCACTAACCGTCCATCCCATCCATCCCGTCATTTCTGTCACACTCAGCTACTCCATCTGTCAACCACCAGCCTCCGTCCATCCCCACCCTCTGTCAACCACCAGCCTCCGTCCATCAGCACCCCATATGTCAACCACCAGCCTCCGTCCATCCCCACCCTGCTGTCAACCACCAGCCTCCGTCCATCCCCACCCATCTGCCAACCACCAGCCTCCGTCCATCCCCACCCCTCTGTCAACCACCAGCCTCCGTCCATCCCCACCCATATGTCACCCACCAGCCTCCGTCCATCCCCACCCCTCTGTCAACCACCAGCCTCCGCCCATCCCCACCCCGCTGTCAACCACCAGCCTCCGCCCATCCCCCCCATATGTCAACCACCAGCCTCCGTCCATCCCCACCCTGCTGTCAACCACCAGCCTCCGTCCATCCCCACCCATCTGCCAACCACCAGCCTCCGTCCATCCCCACCCATATGTCAACCACCAGCCGCCGTCCATCCCCACCCATATGTCACCCACCAGCCTCCGTCCATCAACACCCCTCTGTCAACCACCAGCCTCCGTCCATCCCCACCCATATGTCACCCACCAGCCTCTGTCCATCCCCACCCATCTGTCAACCACCAGCCTCCGTCCATCAACACCCATATGTCACCCACCAGCCTCTGTCCATCCCCACCCTGCTGTCAACCACCAGCCTCCGTCCATCCCCACCCATCTGCCAACCACCAGCCTCCGTCCATCCCCACCCATCTGTCAACCACCAGCCTCCGTCCATCCCCACCCATCTGCCAACCACCAGCCTCCGTCCATCCCCACCCATCTGTCAACCACCAGCCTCCGTCCATCCCCACCCCTCTGTCAACCACCAGCCTCCGTCCATCCCACCCCTCCTGTCAACCATCAGCCTCCGTCCATCCCCACCCTCTGTCAACCACCAGCCTCCGTCCATCCCACCCCTTCTTGTCAACCACCAGCCTCCGTCCATCAGCATCCCTCTGTCAACCACCAGCCTCCGTCCATCAGCACCCCTCTGTCAACCACCAGCCTCCGTCCATCCCCATCCCTCTGTCAACTACCAGCCTCCGTCCATCAGCACCCACTCTGTCAACCACCAGCCTCCGTCCATCAGCACCCCTCTGTCAACCACCAGCCTCCGTCCATCCCCACCTCTCCCTCTCTCAAGCCTCCGTCCATCCCCTCCGTCCATCCCCACCCCTCTGTCAGCTAAGAGGCGACTAAAGGGATCGGGTGGTCAGGCTCGCTGACTTGGTTGACACGTCATCGTATCCCGGTTGCGTAGATCGATGACCATGCTGTTGATCACTGGATGCACCGGTCCAGACTCGATTATTTACAGACGACGCCATATAGCTGGACCTTTGCTGAGTGTGGCGTTAAACAACAACAAAATCATTTTTTAGAATGCCGTACACATGGTTTGTATGGCGATTATCAGGTTATTATCATTATCATACATGAGCGGCAAATCGTGAATCAAGCTGTCAAAATCATATCGGACCGTACTCACTACTTAAATTCGGAATACAACCTCTTCCCTTCAGGCCGCCGCTAAAACTAAGAGAGCCCGTACATCCTTTATTCCAAGTACCATATCTCTCTTAAACAAATGTGAAGATACCTAAATCAAAGAATTTATGTAAATATGTTTGGTATCTCTCTAATGTGTCAGTAGCTCTGCTGATGTAACACAAATTCCTGAAAAGGCATTAAAGTATTATTATATTCTATTCTATTCTATTCAATAAACTACCTTCTGGTGTGATTAGATAAGAAAAACCGTTATAATTCTGCGTTGTTATTCACTGTATCAAAATTACAGTCGGCAGATGTAAAGAGGTGTGAATGTGATGTGTATATCTGTGTATCCCTGGGTGTATACCCCCACCCCCACCCCCCACATACATCCTCTCCTCTCCGTATACCTTCCACCTTTGACCATCTTAGTGTGTCCATCCCTACACGACCCCCTAACTAACCCCTCAATCCACCTCCCTCATCATCTCCTTGACCCATCCATATCCAGGTCAACATTATCTGTCACATCGTGATGTCTGTGTGTTTCTCTTACGAATAAAGCTAAAGAGCTCACACCTATGTTTACCAACCATTGTACAAGAACCAATAACTCGACCCCGAGGCGCTAAACTACGAGCCGATGGATCACCCGCGTAATCAACAGACTGATAGTTCACGGTAGCCTCTACTCCCATCCCTGCCCTATCACACAGCCATACAGTAGGCATCCAAAGTGCAAATCTCACATAACCGTTTGCAGTGCACGTCATCTTAAAGTAAAGATCGTGCCACGTGATTAATCGTCACAGTTTCAATATTTACCTCATACAATAATCCAAATGAATACCAATTGATAAATTCAGGTTGTCCAAATAAGTTTGAGTGAGTGAAGGCAGCAGCTAAGACGGGCTGAATACGGGGTGCGGTGCATAAACCTGGTTATGACGGGGTCTCACGGATACTGTGGAATATAGCGCGATACCACATGGGAACACAAGTCTAGGAAATATAAATAATACACCCTGAACAAACGGCTAATATTGACAGTACTGAGCGGCTGCTGGCAGCACCTAAAACAGTGTGTACGAAGACCTGTGGTTGAAAGAGGTAAGATTTCACATCTGTCTTATCAGTGATTAACGCTTGGAATTTGAATATTTTAAATTTGATGGTTATTTTATCAGTTTGGTTCTCATTCCGCAAAATATACACTCCGTCAGTACTTCATTTTGAATCAATTATTACGATTTTGTCGTCTCGTTGACACAAAGAAATAGTTCCGTAGATTGATTGCCCTGCCTTGTCATGTTTTTAGGGTCAAGTGCTTGTGGGGTCATCTCACATATAAAAACATACTTTGTTCTGCAGATGGGAATGTATCAGCTTAGAAAATATGCCCGCCAATGAAATCTCTGTTTTGAAAATTAGAAAGTAAACTGAAGGACAAAAGAAAATACACAGCCATGTTGGATGGTGCTTAAAATGACACAAAGAATGTTGTTATGGAGATGTATTTGATACGGATGTAATAGCTTAGGTATAGACCTCAGTTTGTCAAGATTTCGGCGACCGTTTCAGCCTAGTAACGTCCTCCTTCTGTTTGTAAGAGTTTGCCAATTTTCAGGTGAATACTTAATAGTTGTTCTTGGCCCGCGGTGCATCACGTTGTATCACAGAAAAAACATACTTTCAAGTTACTGGCAGGCATGATTTCCTTAGCTGATCAATTTAGGGGGGAATTGATCAGCTAAGGAAAGTATGTCTGCTAGTAACTTACAATGAAAACTTGGATTTCGAGAACTCTAAGTATTTCGAAATAGCCAGCATTTTCTTGAAATGTTTGTAAAAATGTATGTAAATCCGAAACATGTTTAATATCTAAATGTGTTCGTACTTTAGTATCTCAGGTAGTTTAGGATTGACTGAACGTGTTTAGGGGCTAAGTTGTAAATTATTAATGTTTTAGCGTTTAATCAATATATATGTATAAAAGTGTGGGGATAACTTAAAGAAACTGGGGGTCTGTTGTAGTAATCAGATATACATACATTGTCAGCCACCGTTTCTGAATGATAGTGATACTATCTGTCTGATCTGTATTCCCACAGTTACACTCTTAGAACTATGATATCTAAAAACATTAAACACTCTTCTGTAAACCTGGTGGTTACAGCCTTCGCCCGTCCCGCCGAGTTTATACATGAGTACAATGTGTAAAGCGGCTTTCCGGTGTCCCCTGCTGTTATATTACCGGAATATTGCTAAAGGCGGCGTAAAACCATACTCACTCTCATGATTGAAGACAATCACGTATCTGACCGCCTGTAGTTTCTGGGTGTGAGCTGGTCCCCACCAGCTGAAGCATCTGTTCAGAGGCTGAATGGATCGGGTGGTCAGGCCAGGTGACTTGCATCGTCCCTTGTTGTTCTGAATCGTTGATCTTGGGTCAATCACCGGATTGTCTAGATAATATAAAGGGCGCTATCGTATCTTTTGAATATTAATTATGTAGTAACGATACACTAACAAACACATACCTGCATGCATGTATTTTAATTGTTTCGGTACATTTTTAGCATAAGTCTAAGACAATTCATTATTATTGTTTGCAAGTGTAATTCAGAGAATATTTGTTTCAGATTTCGGATTCATAAAAATGAAGTTGTCCCTCAGTATAGCACTGCTCGTGGCTACATGCCTAGTAGTCTGCAGAGCACAGACAGGTAAGGAACGTTTATCAGCATCATTCTATCCATTTGCAAATGCATCCATAGCTACTAAAACAAATGCTTATATAAGAATTAATCACGTCAAATCTGACCCACAAGAACCACAGCCACGATATGCATGGTTACTAAAACATAACGCCAACATTACGTACACTGCATTGGCTGCCAATCAGACAAAGAATTGTCTTCAAGGTGTTGGTGTTTGTGCACAAGGCCCTTCACAACCAAGCTCCAGAATACCTGACTGAACTAGTGTCATGGTATCAGCCATCACGAACCCTGAGATCAGCCTCTTTAAAACAAGCAGTAGTGCCCTCTACCCGCAGAGCGAGTTATGGGGATAGAGCTTTCGCCAAAGCAGGTCCTCTGTTATGGAACCAACTACCTGAAAACCTGAAAAACTTGTCAGACATAATTCCATTCAAAAAAGAACTAAAAACAGTTCTTTTCCACAGAGCATTCGACCAAGCGCCTTAGAGCAAACCTTGGATTCAGGCGCTATACAAATTTTAACATTAATTAATTAAAACAAAGCCGTCTTGAATTACAATGTCGTCATGAAGATGTAACCGTTTTGTTGATCTTTTTGTGACATATCCCGTTTATTCGGCACTATCAAAGAACGCGGGGTCAAGCTAAGTAAACTAGAAATGTCTTTTAAGTATATTTGCATGACAATTACCACACGCGTTCTGCAGCCTGACAGCGGGCATTTGTTCGTTTTACCACTAAGTTTCAAACGTGATGAGGTAGAAAATAGAGCTAAAAATAAATATAAAAGTCGCTTGTTCCACATCAAGAGGAGATCTAATTATAAGCATACCTGTATATACATCTTCTTTGGATATCAGGGGAAGTTATAGGTGTGTTCATGTTCAAATATTTGAGAAACACTTTCAAACATACAAAAGAAGCAAATATAAAATGAACATTCTAGCCGGATATGCAAGGAAGTGTGGAACAGAACAGTCTTATACCTATTCATATGAATACAACCGCTAGCATTCATAAAAAAAAGCTAAACGTTAATTTCAGATCTTACATTATGCAGATGAAGTTGGCCAAGAATGAGCCAGGAATTATCATATACACAATCACATATTTTGAGTGAAAGCGTCTGATCTGTGTTGTATAGCTTCAAAACTGTAGAATATTCTGGAATGATGACATGTTGGTTTAGCTAGTGGGGATCTTGAGTTTTTAAAAAAAACATATACAGTTTTTCCAGAAAGTGCTTCTCCCTCTTGAAAAAAACAGATATTGGCTGCCACAAAATAAAATTGAAAAAAATATCTTGCTTTGTAGTTGTATGTAATAATATAAATGGTTTTACGTCTATATTTTTACGAACTATATGCAGAGAAAGGTGAGATATAACGTCTATATTTTGAGGGACTCGACGTTTCGGAGTATATTCTTAATCCTTCACCTGATGAAGTTACATCCATAAATTATCGCCTCAATGTGTGTCACTTCTAACAACCGTTCAAAGACTGCATACGGAGAAACAGCGCAGTAGGTATGACTAAAACATAGGTCTACTATGCTTGCAGTTACACCCAGATAGCAAACACTACAATACAATCTACAACACTTGTTTCAGTTGCAGCGAGCCACGTGTGTACATTTTGCATGCAGAATAAATACGCTATAATGTGTCACCTTCGACGTATCACACACGGGACAATAGTTTTAAACGAAAAGAATAAAATGAATCAATTCCCCATAGCAACAAGAAACATAATAGACGGTCTATCTATCTTAAAGTCAAATGTTGATATAATGTATAGAAAACCTATGCTGTGTTATACCACATTGAAGGCAGCTGTCGTCAACAGCAACGGTTGTGCTGATGAGTACAAATAGATACTCGCGTATGATTAAACAAATGCCTGAAGTCTGATACTGTTAAAATGGCGAGACTTGACCGACAGAGCGTTCAATTACAAGCCTAATTACAGACAGATATTTTAGAATGAATGAGTTAAGATTTTAGTCACATCGGCAGTATTTCAATATTAAGATATTGTGGAATAGCCTCGCCTCATTTAATATACAATGCACTTTTATGCTATTTGATTAAAGCATAAATAAACGGGGGAAATGAACCACCCTATTCTTTCAGTACGATCTATCTTTCCAAGCTGTACATAATAAAATATTTGTTAACTCAGCACTATCAAACATCTATAATGTTCACTAATGCCATAATGTTTTTTCATGTATTTCTACATTGCAAACCATTCATTTTGGACACGACTGTCAACAAACTATTAATTTTGGGCATATTTATGAACAAACTATTCATTTTAAAAATATATTCCCACATTAATGGATGTTCCCTTAGACAATTTGAATATTTCGTTATTTTACAAATTGTCCGAATACTATGTCCTTTTATTTTATTGTTATAACGAAATCCATTTTGATGTTGAATTTTCGTTACCCAGTGATATTCTGTAAAATATTTAGGAAACCGGAAAGTAAATGTAAAACTGTTGTGGTGTTCATTCATTCATTCATTCATTCATTCATATCATGCAATTTGTTTTGTCTATGAGTATATACTCTCGAGAACTTACTAATAACGTTTAGATAATCTGTCAACGAAATGGGCAGATTTCCTGCCTATATGCATTATGATTATCTAGATATGTTTACAGATTGACCCATGTTTCGATTGAGTTGGTTCATGAATGTAATCGGTTCATGAATGTAATTAGTTCATGAGATGTAATCGTATCCCAACTGCGTTGATCGATGCTCATGATGTCAATCACAGTTTTACACATGATTACTTACCTACCATTTTGGCGGAATATTGCTGTGAAACTATGGTGTTAACAAGAACAGGTTCCATGTACAACCAAAGGACTGAGAGTTAGAGGTTCCAGCTCGTGTTACACCACTGAGGAAATAGGTTGTCATTAAATGTTCCCAAAAGACGAGGTTTTGGTGGTAAAAGGATAACTTGCTGATGAATAGTCTATCTCAGAGTCACTGAACCATATAATTTTCCTTCGACACAACACTACCTGTTAGACATACGCTCAAAATGAACCAAGTCTAGATTTCCACTGGTTTGAATCTCAAATCTCACTGGAGATCCTATTAAATTTATAAGGAGCTATTTGTTACTCTCAGAGATTAAGCGTTAGTCCACCTGTTAGTTGACGAAATAGTGAAAACCTTTTCAAACTGTTCTCCATGCACTACGCCAAGGACTGCCCCGTGGAGTGGTGGTTAATAGAGCGTCCGCCTGGCGAGCGGAAGGTCGCGGGTTCGATCCCCGGCCGCGTCATACCAAAAGACGTTAAAATATGGTACTTGTTGGTCCCTACCTGGCGCTCGGCATTAATGGGTAAAACAATGACTGGTCGGCCTGGAGTCAGTATAATGTGTCTGTGTGGGGTATTCATGCTCAACCGCGGCATAGTATCTCAGTGAGCTTGCACTATAAAACCAGCTTAAGTCTGGGCTAGTACAAGCAGACACACATACACACGTATGCACGTCGTCATATAGTAAGCGAAATATTTTAAAGCACGACGTTAAATCATTTCACCTCACCTCAGTACGCCAAGGTTGCGGCGATGGTATAAGGTAGAGGTTGCTATTAACGCTGCTTTGAACAGTAGTGATGTGGGAGGAAATCCCGTAGTAATGTAGGCTGTAGCACATTGCTGAGATCAGGGAGACTATATAAGGTTGTAGAGTATCCCTGCTGAGATCTATCAAAATCACTGTTGCAATCAAAGTTCGCCCCTGAGGAATACATTAATTCCCAGAAAATAGACAAACGCACAGATATATACATTGATTGAATCTAAAAGTTCCATATAAATTAAAAAGGAGATGGGAGATTCCTTAACCGGGGAAAATCTAGACAAGCTTCATTTAGGGCTACGGAATGGACCGGGTGGAAGGGAAATAGTGCGGTTCAGGGACTGTGAGACTACACAGAAAACTGCACCGTGTTAGTTAGAATTCTTGGCCGATCGCGTCCCTAGAGATGTCTCATGTCCGCAGGGCCAAAGGCTAGTCTGTGCTAGACATCGATAGACTCCTTCCGTTGACCGATATTCCCTAGTGAACAAGACCTCTATGACATCTCATTATCTTACCTGAAGATGAAACACAGTTAGCTTTATTTATGTGAGAGACACTATGCAGTCTATGGTCCATACCACTATACGTTCTGATTTCATGTTCTATTGTAGGCAGTGTCTTCAACTGCAAGAACCCGGGTAACAACTGCATCAACGGAGTGTGCAACTACTCCAACGGCATTTGCGTTTGCAACACTGGCTATGAAGGAGAGAGCTGCCACATCTTTTCAGGTACTGAACTTTGACATCCATCCTTGCTATGATAATTCATAGGTTCTGTTATACACCATAATTCCCATCCTGCTGGTCGCTTGAATGGCAACAAGCATTCATGTGTAGCTGGGTTTTGTTCAAGATGTAAATGGAACTTACCTTTCTGTCGTTTTATTGTGTTGATTCACGAACGTTATTAGTATGCCTCTCATGAGAGAGCACGTGTGTGTGTGTGTGTGTGTGTGTGTGTGTGTGTGTGTGTGTGTTTGAGAGAGAGTGAGTGAATCTAGTTTTACGCTGCACTCAGCAATATTCCAGCTATATGGCGGCAGTCTGTAATTAATCGAGTCTGGACCAGACAATCCAGTGATCGACAGCATGAGCATCGATCTACGCAATGGGGAACCGATGACATGTGTTACTGAAGATTAATATTCTAACCCGAATCTTCACGGATCAGAGAGAGAGAGAGAGAGAGAGAGAGAGAGAGAGAGAGAGAGAGAGAGAGAGAGAGAGAGAGAGAGAGAGAGAGAGAGAGAGAGAGAGAGAGAGAGAGAGAGAGAGATTTTATATGTCAAAAACGATTACTTATTATTGATAATGCATAGCAAATACTGCTTTGCTAATGAAATGTTGGAGAAAGCACCTTAACAAATATTGCAATCTAAAAGCCTATATTGTTAAATGTGCAATGTTCGGTTGGAACTCGCGTGTACAGTGTTTTCTCTTTTGTCCCTGGAGTTTTGGGTGGTAATTATCGCTAACAGAGCACCTAAGTTGAACAATACATGGGTGAGAAACACAAGCATGTTGTTACACCGTAAAAGCCCATTCGGACCCAGATGCATCTTGCAGCAGAATCTGCGCCTCTCGTCAGAGTAATTGTGTTACAGTATCACATATCACTGCATAGGCGTACTGAAAATATATGTTCAAAAAAGGTTTGCGATAAGTTATTGCTTTTTGGTTGTGACCGTATTTTTCTGATCTGTATTTAAGGTTTTAGCCGTTTTTATATATTTTGCTGTTTTGGGCCGTTGCCGTTTCCATTGGATCCCTCGTACCCCTCAAACGGGTAGCAGCTGTTCAACCCACTCCTTCGACGTTCGTCACGGAGGACAGGCATAGAAAAGCATATTGACTAAATATACCGTTTCTTAAAATAGCTTTTTAGGTTTCTTTCTCTACCAATAGTTAAAAATATTCAAGATGATAATAATTAACAATTGAGAACGGTTTACTCAGGGTGTGTCATAGAATATCTCAGTTCAGGACAAGTTTAAGTGTTTATATAGGCAGCTGAGGGGGTAATGGCGTCTATATATGTATACAATATGGGGATGCTGTCTTTACAGGTGTATAATACAGCAGGGGTGTGGCCTACATCGTCACTTACCGTAACCCGTCTTTGGTGTTATCTCTCTGTGTCGTATACTCTCATTACAGCGAAATTTCACATCCTTCTCCCACCACCAACTGCGTAGCGTTATCTCAATTAAGGGATTTATATAAGTTTACACCTACCCGTTTAATAACGGTAAATATATTCGCGGTCATGTAACATACACCTGCGTGTTTTTTTTCTTTGCAGCCAATAAGTGCACCAGCCTCAGCTGTGGGTTAATGGCGTGTGCGAGACACGGTCAGGGGTTGACAAGTGTGTCTGTAACGCTGGCTACTCGGGGGCATCATGCGAGTTGGCACCCAGTGAGTAGAGAGGGCGTAGACCCGGGCTTACATCACTGTCAATAATTCAATTAAAATAATATTTTAATTAAATTCGATTTAAAAAAAATGAAAATGTATATTCACAGACATAATTAGTGTGAGGCTTACGACCGTATGTAATTGTTTATGTTGTTTGGCTGTTTCATTTTATAGATTTTAAATTCATTTCGCTGTCACGACTGGTCTTTTTATAAATCATTACGTCATGTATGTATGGGAAAACATGATGAGGATTGTGATGATGACGACAATGATGATACTCTATAATAGTAACACCTCAAAATGTTTTCCGCAAAGATGATGATGATGATGATGATGATGATGATGATGATGATGAACAATATGTTATTCCAGTGAATTGCCAGTGTCTCACAGATAGAATGATCGTGTCAATGGCCCCTCCTGGTGACTTTTCTAACGGAGAGGGTTACGTTGAGAGTTACAGGTGAGTAAAGATTCTGAAGCATACGACACACTTCGCTTGAAACGGGACGGTGGGGTAGCCTATTGGTTATAGCTCGTCACGCCGAAGACCCGGGTTCGATTCCCGACATGGGTACAGTGTGTAAAGTCCTTTTCCGGTTACCCCCACACCCCTGCTAGTAGCGGCGTAAAACTAAAGTCACTCTCTTCGCTTGAAACAAATGTCAAATTTAGAAGTCTCACACGTCGAATCAGGCTGCATCCACACCTCACATTATAGTTTATAGGAAATAAGTGTTGTAAACAGCTTCACTGATACATTCGTATATATTTGATTTAACATTATGTATCATTTTAGTGTCTATTGTTGCAGTTCACACAATAGGTGTCTATTGTTGCAGTTCACACAATAGGTGTCTATTGTTCAGTTCACACAATAAACACTTGAGAAATAAATTTGACCCAAAGTTATCAAAACGTCAATAGATTGAAATCCTCGCATAGCTGTAAACATTGTTGATGCGGCTTAGTTCAATATTTATTCTTTCTAAGCATACTAATCATTTTGACCTGTAAGAAACTGTAAAAGTAATTCTCTTGCTGGCATATTCGAAACAATTCCAATGAATTGACTATTATTGACTTAGAAATACCAAATTATTGGGAATTATGTGATATCATTCTGATACTTTTGGGGTTTTAAGTACATCGTTATTTCCAGAAATCTGTGTGCCTTCTATTCCAGTAAACAACATACGCGACATATATAGGCTAGGCGCACCGGGGAAGATCAGGGGTAGAATTGATTTTCAATCACCCATGCTTGTCGTAAGAGGCGACTAACGGGATCGGGTGGTCAGGCTCGCTGACTTGGTTGACACATGTCACCGATTCGAGTCATACGAGGCTTACAAAGTTACGTGTAAGAGAAATCTATATGTGACATAATTCTGTTGTTTTAATTCTACTTTGCAAATCAACAACTGGAATGCTCTTTTCGTACGAGGTTGTAGCAATAATGAGGTTGACCGATGGAATAACAATGCTAAATAATGAGTGAGTTGAGTTTTACGCCGCTTTCAACATTATTCCAGCAATATCAGCGGAACAAAAAATGGGCTTCTGGGGACTCTAAGGGTGTGGGTTCGAATCCCGGATGGGACTCAATCCAACATAAGTTCTAGAATTTGTACTTAATCAAGAAAGTGTAATCCCAAGTATAACATGTTAGATATCCCGGATTTAACATTTCAAAGGTATTTTGTCATCTTATCACAGTGCCGAACCCACCTGTAACACGGCGCGCATCGACAACACCCAAACCATCACCGTTAGCTATTTGGCCGGCAGGTGCGGAACGGCTACCAGGAGAGACCTACCGGTAAACATACCTCAGTTTAAACCCAGTTAACTGCAGACCACTGCAGTGTTATCAGATATCGTGAAGATCCGGGTTAGAATTGGTCTTCAGTAACCCATGCTTGTCGTAGGAGGCAACTTACGGGATCAGGTGGTCAGGCTCGCTGACTTGGTTGACACATACCACCGTATCCCAGTTGCTTAGATCGATGCTCATTCTGTTGATCACTGGACCGGCTGGTCCACACTCCAATATTTACAGACCGCCGCCATATAGCTGGGATATTGCTGAGTGTGGTGTAAAGCAACAAACCAACCAAGCAAGTGTTATAAATGTTCATGTTTTGATAAATATTGTAAAGAGTTCATTTCCAGTAAAGAGAGCGTGACTATGTTTTCATTAGTTTTTGACTACGTTGGCGAGGTGCATGTATTTATTTATTTATTTATCGTTTTTGCAGGTTTACGTAGTCAATGTCTTTTAAGAAAAGTCAGTATAATGATAACAGCACCAACCAGCCTAACGATATGTAAATGCATGCCTGGTACACACACACGTACACGTGCACACATACACACGCACGAACGCACGCACATGGGTGCGCGCGCACACGCACAAAATTCTTCAGAATGATATTTAATAGACATGAACTAGCTGTGGACCGTTTTAGGGTTAACGTCCCAATGTACATAAGTTTTCAAGACAGTTAAGTTAAATGGAGTGAGTGAGTGAGTGAGAGAGTTTAGTTTTACGCCGCACTCAGTAATATTCCAGCTATATGGCGGCGATATGTAAATAATCGAGTCTGGACCAGACTATCCAGTGATCAACAGCATGAGCATCGATCTGCGCAATTGGGAACTGATGACATGTGTCAACCAAACCAGCGAGCCTAACCACCCGATCCCTTTAGTCGCCTCTTACGACAAGCATTGATTACTGAAGGTTCATTCTAACCCGGATCTTCACGGGTTTGAAATGGAGTGAGTATCTCACCCTGAAATACCCGTGAATGTGTGTAAACTCACATTGTAATGATGTGGTGGCAAACGACCTTTACCATAAACCCATGTTCTGTTTGGCAGAATGGCTATGCGTATACCCGAACTTTCGTCTACCGCTACAGCCGTATTATCCGTACCGGCACCGACATCCGCTTCCAGTGCAACTGCATCTTCGACCCCAGTAACAACGTCCTCTACGCCAGCTTTGGAAACATCAACCCCAATGACTTGTACGTTGACAATTGAATGTTGATTATTTAATATAAATGTCATTGAAGTATACAGATTTAGAATAACTTTATAGCAGTTATTGCGTTGATGACACCCCTGTACATGATATCCAGAACCTAGATTTTTGAAGCTCTTCTAGTGTTAGACCCGTGAAGATCCGGGGTAGAATAGGTCTTCAGCAACCCATGCTTGCCATAAAAGGCATCGGGTGGTCAGGCTCGCTGACTTGGTTGACACATGTCATCGGTTCCCAATTGCGCAGATCGATGCTCATGCTGTTGATCACTGGATTGTCTGGTCCAGACTCGATTATTTACAGACCGCCGCCATATAGCTGGAATATTGCTGAGTGCGGCGTAACACTAAACTCACTCACTCTTCTAGTGTTAAGATGGTCGTAAGTGCTATACATGAACAGTAACTTTCGACTATCTTAGCTCTAAGACAGCTTCGAAAATCTAGCCCTGGTATATAAAACACACAGATAGCGATGGGGTAGACTAGTGGTTAAAGCGTTCGCTCATCACACCGGCAGGCGTGGTTTGAGTCCGAACAGGCATACAATGTGTGGAGTGAGAGATATTGCTGAAACTGCTGTAAACCGAGTTTCCCACTGTCAACTCAGAGATCATACAAGGATGTTGATGTGTTAAACCCCTGTCGATATATACGGTGTTTGTTCGCATTATAAACACTGCTATGGTATTTTAAACAGATTCGAATCCCGGTTTGCTATAAATATATTTCTATGTTTGTCAGAACCACAGCTCGTGGCTTTCACCGAAGAGTTATAGTCTGAGACCTGCATCACTTCGGGCTTTCCTTCCACATTCACCTGTGAAGATCCGAGTTAGAATTGATTTTCAGTAACCCATGCTTGTCGTAAAAGGCGACTAACGGGATCGGGTGGTCAGGCTCGCTGACTTGGTTGACTCATGTCATCGGTTCCCAATTGCGCAGATCGATGCTCATGCTGTTGATCACTGGATTATCTGGTCCAGACTCGATTATTTACAGACCGCCGCCATATAGCTGGAATATTGCTGAGTGCGGCGTAAAACTAAACTCACTCATTCACTCACGCCTTCCAAATTAAGCAATGATATTGCTGGAAAAAAGTGTGGTTAAACACATCCCGCTTTTCCAAACTAATGATAGACTTAGCTTATTCTTAAGCGTTGGGGTAGCCTAGTAGGTAAAGCGTTCGCTCGTCACGCCGAAGATCCGGGTTCGATTCCCAATATGGGTACAATTTATGGAGCCCATTTCTGGTGTCCCCCGACGTAATAATGCTGAAATATTGCTAAGAGCAGCGTAAAACTAAACTCACTCACTCGCTTAGCTTATTCGAAAGATATATCAGCGGCTCATTATTCACGTTCTAGTTTCACAATGTCAACATGTCTAGGTCATGCATGAACTCTCGTTTGAATCTGACGAGAGTGTTCTGTCTCCAGGAGCAACCTGATCTTCCAAAATGCCACCAACTACATCTCGCCCATCACCTACACTATGACCAACACCTTGGGTCAGACCATCAACCAAGGCTCAGCGCTCAGGATCGGAGATGAGATCGTGCTCACCTTCATCGCTGATGGCGGTCAGTAACGTAACCAATCACAATAGAAGGTTAAGGGTCAAGGCCATGACCTTTTATTTAGGCCCTTTGCATTAAAGGGGTACTGGTCTCGAACAATTCCCCGGAAGTGGTTGTTGCTTTTGTTATTGTGGGTTTTTTAGCCGTGAGTACCCGGATTATATCCCAGAATTACTGATTGGCTTGTAACCTCTGCTGCGCCACCCGTAAACGCAATTAATAGTATAAGGACGTATCATCACACTGATCGAGAAATATAAATAATAAATAATATAATAAGTGCATTTATAATGCACTTAACTCCATTCACTAAGAGAATGCTCATAGTGCTAACAAATATAATCTGATTATTATAACCCAGGATAACCGAAGGCGGTAGAAGATTAACAGTAACATGACTTATCCCACCGGGTACCATTTTTTTTTAGGATCAAATAGAGTTTCGTCGTTTAAATAACTGGGAAATGTTGTCATCTTTGAGATCCCTTAATATTTTTAGTTACAAACTGGCAGAAACATGTCCATCTAGCCCATTATGGTAACAACTCCACTGAAGTTAAATTTCATCTCCCAGTGGCCAAAAGTGTTTAGATTGAAAGAAAAGTCAGTGTAAGCGTTTTTATTTTCAGCTTAGAATCCAAGCATAATTTTTCTATCATTATGTTTTGTTCTTATTGCACCTTGGAACTTCTTAAAGTATTTTATCAATCAATTTCTGAAATGACAGTATTGTATAGGCATTAAATATATTGCCTTCGTGAAAGAAATTGTACACTCTACGTTGCTATGTTGTGTTAGTTCCAGAGTTGCCAAACTGCCAAGAATGCGGCTAACGTTCAAGGAGATCATTCGTATTTCATTGTTCTGTTCTCGTAACACAAACGTTGACCTGATATTTGTAATAAGATACCTATATGACTTGTTCATAGAATATTCCGCATCTTTAGTGTCTTTAATTGTTTGTTTTTAATGATTTCTTTGATGTCTCCAGGCTACTGTGCTGTATTCGACAGACTGGTAGGCACCAGCCCAGGCATCCCCAGCAATCAAGCTGTGTTGATAGACAATGGGTAAGTTGGTTTCCTCAGTATATTTGGTCATGCACCTGACAACACGGGGGTGCCTTTCACCTAGCAACGTGTGTAATAAACACGACATCATGAGTGAGTGAGTGAATGTGGTTTTATGCCTCTTTTAGCAATATACCAGCAATATCACGCCGGGAGGCAATAGATATGGGCTTCACGCACTGAACCCATGCGGGGAATCGAACCCGGGCTTTCGCTGTGACGAGCGAACACTTTAACCACTGGGCTACCCCATCGCCCCTTGCATCATTAGTCGTACACACAACAACATACACCTGGCAACATGGGTTGCACCTACACCTAACAACACGGCTCATGCACCTGGCAACAGGGTAATACACCTAACAACACGGGTCATGCACCTGGCAACAGGGGTAATACACCTAACAACACGGATCATGCACCTGGCAACAGGGGTAATACACCTAACAACACGGGTCATGCACCTGGCAACAGGGGTAATACAACTAACAACACGGGTCATGCACCTGGCAACAGGGGTAATACACCTAACAACACGGGTCATGCACCTGGCAACAGGGGTAATACACCTAACAACACGGGTCATGCACCTGGCAACAGGGTAATACACCTAACAACACGGGCACCTCATGCAACCTCATGCACCTGGCAACAGGGGTAATACACCTAACAACACACCTAACAACACGGGTCATGGGTCATGCACCTGGCAACAGGGTAATACACCTAACAACACGGGTCATGCACCTGGCAACAGGGGTAATACACCTAACAACACGGGTCATGCACCTGGCAACAGGGGTAATACACCTACACATGCACCTGGCAACAGGGGTAATACAATCACACACCTTGCAGCATGGGTTATACACCTAGCAATACAGGTATTACGCCTAGCAATACAGGTCATGCCCCTAGCGACATATGTCATACAACACACATCAAGGCAGGTGTCATTGTCGTGTGACACGATATGGCTTTTACAAAATGTATCCATGCATTTGCGATCTTTGAGAGTACAAAAGTCATACAACGGTACAAGATATGGACGCTATTTTTACTGGTTTGGTTTGCTTGTTGTTTAACGCCGCACTCAGCAATATTCCAGCTATATGGCGACAGTCTGTACGTAACCGAGTCTGGACCAGACAACCCAGTGATCAACAGAATGAATATCGCTCTACACAATTGGGATACCATGACATGTGTCAACCAAGCCAGCAAGTCTGACCACCCGATCCCGTTAGTCGCCTCTTCCGACAAGCATGGGTTACTGAAGATCAATTTTATCCCGGATCTTCACGGATTCTACTTTTACTGACTGAATGTATCTCTTCGACAGATGTGTGACAACACTAGGCAAGTCTGTGGTCAAGCCTGACCCGTTCTACAACAGTGACCTGTCTAGCTTCACAGTGAACCTGTACGCCTTCCTCTTCGACAACAGCAACTCCCTCCAACTATCGATCTTCTACCGCAGCAGCACCGACCGTACCCAGTGCTCACTTCCGGTATGTTACGAAATCTATCTTCGTGGATGTGATTACAAAGAACGTACATAATATAACCTATCGGCTTCATGGGTTGATGTGCCTTCTAAGTCGTCCCCGACTGGAAGGGTACATCATCCCATGGCCCACATGGGTGGGATGCACGTAGCACCATGTCTTTCTGTAGTGGGTCGGAGTTGGTTACAATTTACATGATACCTTGACTTATCGTGATAAGAAATCCAAGATTGATTCAGGTGTGAAACGTTACTATTTATTCAAAACCTTAAGGACAGAGCAAAATTTGGGACAGCACCGTATTTCGAACCAAAGACCAATTGACCGGAACGTAGCTGCGCACGGCACGTCTTAGCCCAGAAGGTTTCCAGAGAGGTACATTGCAATATGTGAGAGTGAGTGAGGGTAACGTGGCTTGTATCCCAGCAATATCGAGGCAGGGGACACGAAACAAATTGGCTTCATAAGTTGTACCCATCTGAGGAGTCGAACCAGCACCTTTCCATGAGGGACGGACTTCACCACTCGGCTGCCTTATGGACCCATATTGCATTTAAGTCCTTAACTTACACCCACAGCCAAAACATGAGATATCCATGATGACTTCATCCTTCAATATATAAGTACTTTTCACATTGTAAATGTTATTTGATACGCCTGAGGTTGCGTGGACATTAACTCAGGGGTGGAAATAACTTTAAAATTGCTAGTGTACACCGGTACAGTGTGATATACAAATTTGCTTGCCCGACAGAAAAAAAACACTGGACTCGGGCGTCGGGCAATGGGTTATTTCCACCCCTGTTACTCTCTAAATGCCTAGGCGTATACAGAGTTGGTAGGGCTGGGTGTTTCAAGAATAAGCACCGACACATCTTTGTAACTGTAAATGGTAGTGTACAGCGATGTCACAAAGAGGTTCTATATTTTCTGTGCCCGTAGACTTGCTCCACCACTGGGAGAAAGAAGAGAGATACTGAAGCAACTGAAGGGGAAGAGAACGTCATCAACCAGACTATCTACATCAACACGCCATACGAACAAAGCAGACTCACGGGTATGAACTGTGTAATATGAACTTGTACACGATTATGTTGCCTTTCACTAGGACTGTGTCCGACATGGCTCATTTGAAGCGTGAGTTAGTGAGTGTGAGAGTGAGTTGGGTTTTACTCCGCTTTTAGCAACATTCCAGCAATATCACAGCAGGGGACACCACAAATGTATCAATGATGGGAATCGAACCAGGGCCTGAATACTTTAACCGCCAGGCTACTCCAACGCCCTGAGTTGTCGGTACCCCCAGATATGGTCTTATAAATGTAGATGGTCTGACGTAGTTCTAATATGTCAAAGTTTTTCACTTACGACGAACAACTGCGTATAATTGGCAAACGTGAAACGAACAGGTTAACCTACATGATACCACAAAGATGGTCTACAGGAGGCCACCAGTTGTAATGCTTCATTGAGCAGCAAATGACGGACAGCCAGTCATGTCGTTCCCTCAATGAACCAATGAATCTAGCGCACGCACGCACGCACATACACACGGTCAGTGGTATTGGACCTGATCATATCCTAGCACACTGCCGGAGAGCGGAAGGTCGCGGGTTCGATCCCCGACCGCGTCAAAGCAAAAGACGTTAAAATATGGTACTTGTTGGTCCCTGCCTGGCGCTCGGCATTAATGGGTACAACAAGGACTGGTCGGCTCGGAGTCAGCATAATGTGTCTGAGTGGGGTATTCATGCTTCACTGCGGCATAGTATCTCAGTGAGCTAGCACTATAAAACCAGCTTCAGTTTGGGCTAGTACAAGCAGCCGCACATACACATACACACGCATGCACGTCGTGATATGAGCGAAATATTCTCAAGCACGGCGTTAAACCCAATTTCACCTCACCTCACCTCCTAGCAGACTGAATGAAAATAGCATCGCATACATTATTCTAAACATCATCAATAACAGTACTGTCATATCTGACTTCTCTCCTCGTTGTTGCAGACCAAAAAACCGAAGAATGCACGATGTCCAGCAACGTGATGATCGGACTCATCGTCCTTGCCGCCATAATCTGCGTCCTCCTTGTCGTCTGCTTCATATTTGGACTGCGCATGCTCACGGCCAGGAACAAAAACAAGACCGTGAACTAAATCTGAAAAAATATCGCCAGTGGGCTAAAAAAGGGAAACCGACGTCGATTTGAAGAAATCAAATTACATTTGGATAAAATGCATAAACTTCCTTTTCATGAAATAGTATAACTAGGGCATGAATTGGAAGTTTACGTTCATGACACCAGTCGACTTTGGTGAAGGTATTACCAAAAATATTATGCCTTTTAGAAGGCAATAATATGTCAGACTTTCGTCAAAAATCTTGTATTAAGTATTCCCTGCATGTCAAATCTGTTTTGTACTTTCATTTTATCATAATAAACCCACTAACGTATTCTGCTGATGTCGTTCTTCAACTGTGTAAAACTTTCTCAAACATATGGATATATTTTACGACAGCTTCCATCAATATGTGTCATTATATTTGTTTCTTTTGTTGTTTAACGCCGCTCTCAGCAATATTCCAACTATTTTGCGGCCCGCTGTAAATAATCGTATCTGGAGCAGACAATCCAGTGATCTGCATCATAAGCAAAGATCTACAGAATTGGGATATGATGACATAAGTCAACCAAGTCAGCGAGCCTGACCACCCGATGCCTTTTATGACAAGCATGGATTGCTGAAGATCAATTCTAACCCGGATCTTCACAGATCGATCATCGGCGAACTTTTTTAAATCCTTGTTTATTGATTATCCACCGAGATAAGATTTACTGCACGGCGTTTGACAAGGATATTTGAGTGTTTCTATGTTTTGTGGCTTGCAACTGTTGGCATACGAATCGTCAGCGATGTTGGTATGGGTGAGTGGGTACCGTAAGATCGGCCTGAACGAAGTAGTGAGAGAGAGTAATCTCCCTTGAACCACTGATAATGCGGTATCACCAGGCCGTAAGATCTAGCGTCGCATCTTCATTATCTAGCGACGAGACCAAATCTACATAGTGCACTATAAATATTGAGTCATATTTAAAAAGAATTTCTTCATATACACGTTTCAACACTGCAATATTGTTTACAAAATCAAAACACCATCACACCAAATATCAAAACAAACAATTAGTTATACACATATATACAAGTTATGATACAACTAAATGTCGCTATGAGAGTGGGTCGTTGTAGCTCTATTTGAATTTATACGCATAGCCATCTCAAGACTTTCTATGGGCTGCGCAAAAATATCAAGTGTTTCCTAAACTGCTTGTTGAGCAGTGTAAGGGAAATACAATGTGTGAAGAGTAGTGGTGTTTATTATTCATCTATATGTGTAATAATAAATAATGGCCATTTATAAAGGGCCTGTTTCCACACACTTGTCCACTCTCAAAGCGTTAACACATTATTACCCCGGATAACTCAAGCTGTTAGGCGCTAGAAGGTTATAGTCACATGACTTATCCATCCGGGTACCCATTTTCTGTTGGGAGGCAATTTTGAACAAACTCACTTGCCTAAGGTGAGACCACCAGTGATCAACAGCATGAGCATCGATCTACGCAACTGTATACGACGACATGTGTCAACAAAGTCAGCGCGCCTGACCACCCGACCCCGTTAGTCGTCATTTACGACAAGCATGGGTTGCTACAGACCAATTCTTACCCGGATCGTCATGGGTCAGGGAAAGGTTGGCTCTGAGATCCTATATGGTTTCTGGGTGGGGTGTCATGTTAAACCGTGACATCGTATGTCAGTGGGTATTAGTTTGATTAGTACAAGCAGCGCCTATCCATGCTCAAAATGGTTATTTTACGTGCGCTTCAAGTCACCAGGTGCGCGTGCACACGTGGAAGTTTTGTCCCAGATAAACTTTACACCACTTTACACAACTGAACTCGGAAACCTTTGAATACAACATAATAAAGGATCAGGTCCATTGTTCTGTACAGTAACAAAACATATGTGTACCTATATGAATCAGCCTGTATGTTTATAAAATCACATGCGGACATCTAAAACTGCAGTTACACTATGGCTACTATTAATTAATTCATGGCTACTATTAATTAATTCATGGCTACTATTAATTAATTCATGGCTACTATTAATTAATTCACCCAGCAGGGAACAATACTTACAGAAAACCATCACAATTCTTGTCCGGAATATGTCGTAATTATTGGGACAAGAGCTGAATTAGTGAGTGTTTTAAATTGCCAGTACAACCCAGTATTAGTGAGTCAGGAATTTCGCTGATATTGGCAGAGTTGAGTATGAATGAGTTTAGTTAACGCCGCTTTTAGCGATAGTCCAGCAATATCACGCCGGGGGACACAAGAAATGGGCTTCACACATTGTACCCATGTGGAGAATCGAACCCGGGCCTTCGGCGCGACGAGCGAACGCTTAACCACGAGGCTACCCCACCGCCCCTATTTTAGATATAGAGTAGTATTTGTAATAGCATATTTATCCACAAAACCCTCCCTTCGAATTCCCTTGGGATTATTTCCCTGGAAAGCAATATCCCAGGTAACAAATTCAACTGGGATACTTTTCCTAGGTTAATATTTCTACAGGCAATTTCGAATTTGTAAATTCCCTGAAACATTAAACGTTTACAAATAGCAAGTGCAATACCATTATCAAGCTAACTGTTCTCAGTAATCAGTAATAACTGTATAAGGATCAACACCGAAACTTCGCCATAGAGATATTTAAAGAAGTTGTCATCCATGCCATTACTACTTTGTCAATAACCAACTTCTAAAGACGCCTATCAAACACAGTTGAACATCTATACATTATGCCGCAGAAAAATACTTATATAAAATGTCGGCAGAGAAATATGAAGTAAGTTGTATTGACACATTGTATCTATGGTGGGAATGGAACACTAATCTTCGTCATTACGAAGACTGCCACTTTACAATTGGTGTTGATCTAGCGGTGTGAGACTAGGGTTGTGTCCCTTTGATGACAAAGCACGCGTCGGACGAAGAAGCCAAGCGTGTGTGCTGTCTCAGTCCCATAATATTTTCCCCTCTTGGCCTTTCCATAGGCGGGCAGCAGAAATGGGCTTCACACATTGTGCCCATGTGGGGATTCGAACCCGGGTCTTCGGCGTGACGAGACAACGCTTTAACCATTAGGCTACCCCACCGCCCCTGTTAAAATAAAGAAGTTGAACATCCATAAAGTCCTGTCATCTCTATACCACCAACTTCTAGAATGCCACTCAAACAAAAAATTGATTCTATATTTTTTGCATTTTGTTGCGCCATAGACAGTTACCTGGATTCGGTTTATAAACCAAGTAGTGTCGATATGACTGAAATATTGCCAAAAATGACTTTAAATTTTAACTCACTCACCCAAGTGTTTCACAAGTGAAAAGGGTAGAATCAGCTTAGATTGCAAAACATCAAAATCAGTTGTTTATAGATGGGACTAAACTGCCCAAACATGGAATAAACAAATGTAGAATGTCTTCACCTATAAGGCTGGGGCATAAAAAGATATGAATTTCCTTATATTCACGAAACTAGTCCAATTATTACACACCCTCAACACCTCCATACAAGCACCTAGCTTTCACCTTCCTGTTTCCAGGTAATACTTCCGTTTCCTTGTATTGCATTTGACATAACTTCCATGAAGTTTTATTCAGACTATCTAGATAGGAAACACAGATAATCATTTATTCAGCTCTTTTCCAGAATTTAATGCCAGTTTTCCTTAATTTCTACAACAGTTTCTGCAAAATAGCAACAACAAAAACCAACGTATGTATGTTTTGGAAATTGGTCAGTGGTTGAGTTTAATATATACTGAGGGAAAAAAATAAGGGATCACATGAAAGCACAAGTGTTCCTTTATTTTTTTCCAGGTTTCTTCACAACCTGTACAAATACTGTTGGGCAACAGGTATATGCAGAAGACCTGGGTTTGATTCTCCATATATATACTATTCACACTTTGCTAAGGATCAAATCATGGATTCAACAGAAAACTATTATGTGGGGTCATATTTGGTTTAAATACCTAAGCTTATCCTAGCATGGATCCTAGGTTTCACTATGTCATTGCATCTTGTGGATCCCATACCTGGTATTGACATGTGCTGTTTATTTGTCAGTGACTCCTTCCATGATTTGCAAAATGGTTGATTAGTGCCATGAAAACCATTTTTATGGTTACTCATGTATCAAGTGCATAAGCTTAGATTAAACAGGCTGTTTGTTAAACAGGGGTTACCATACTATAATTTATCCAGTTTAAATGGATACAATTTCAAATTATAAATCTACGTTTAAGTAAACTTGTGAAATTTTGTGATCCTTAGCAAAGTGTGAGTAGTATATTTTCTATGTGTAAAGCACATTTCTGATATCGCCTCCATGATAATTCTGGAATATCGCAAAAGCATAAAACCATACTCTCTTTCATCAAAAAGATTGCACAGTTGTAAAAGTGTAATAATTTATTGTGGCATGGTTAGGTCTATTAATTACCCATAACCATGATGAAAAATACAATTTTTAAAAACTTAAAACATGAGACATCACTAAAGGCAAGCTAAAGATCTCATATAAGATGATGGGTGATGTCATGAAAATAGACAATATCCTTCTATTTGGACAAGTGATACCTCAAGAAAAGGTAATAATCTCAGTGAAAATTACCTAAGATATAAGTCTCCAAATATCTATGTACCAAATATTTGATAGGATATTAACAACAGGTACTTATCATCCTGCCTGTATCAAGTTATCAAATATATCACCAGGCCAGACCAATTTTATTTCTTGCTTTACATATTTTTGTCCTCAGAAAACAGAAAGGGAGGAGGGAAAACAAATAAAAATAAAATCACCTGTCAAAGTAATATTCCTCTAAATACTCAAAGTATGTTACTTTTGGCAATTTATGAGTGTATATGGGGCAAAAAACAACTGAAAAACAAAATTTCTTGTATGTTTACATTTCTGGCCAATAAAAACATTAGGATTGTATTTTTTGAGCGGGGAAAATTAATTATTTTTTTTTTCTTATTCTTGAAAAAAAATATGACAGGCAGATCCGTAAAACAAGAAATAAAATTGGTCTGGCCTCAGAAGTCAATAAAACAATGGTAATGGTTTGTGTGTGTGTGTGTGTGGGTGTGGGTGTGTTGCTTGTATGAAACTAATACCCACTAAGATACGATGCCAGTGTAACAGGAAACCCCACTCCGACACCATATAGGAACTCAGAGCCAACCTCTCCCAGTTTTATTCCTTTATTGTCAAGTACCAGGAAGGGTATCAACATGTGGCTTCTTCTAATATCTTTAGCTATGATGTGACTAGGGGTAACACTGTCAAACTTATGCTCCTTCAGCAGGTGT